TAAGGAAGGAGTTGTAGGAACTTGTGATTTGTAGCCAAGTCAGAACTGTGGGTAACCTGGATATCCACTATGTGCAACTGGCATCTGAAATGGGGGGCAGTCCTGTGGGATGGAGCCCTTAACCCATACATTCTGATACTAAGCCTAGGTAGCTAGAGTCAGAATTGAATTGAATCACTGGACACCTAGCTGGTGCTCATAGAGAAATGGCTTGGGGGTGGGGAGGGAGAAACAGTTTTTGTTTGTTTTTTCCTTTAATGCCCTAAGCTATTATCCTCTCCTGCTTTTGCAGAAACATATTTATCTTAATAAGAAAAACACTGCATATGTGGTGATAAACAGAACTGGCATGCAGCCTACAAGTCAAGGATTCAAAAAGGAGTGGTAGGGACCATGGCAAACCATAGAAATGTGTCCCATCCAAAGAATCAGCCACAATTCAATTTTAGCCAATCACTGCCATGTGGGGGTGAAAATTCCTATTACTGGAAATATTTTTATTTTTCAAGAAGATAAGCCAGGCATCTGGTTTTCCATTAGAAACCTTATTAAATACTGGCTCAAAATTTCTTCCCTTTTTTTTACTTAACAAAAAGTTTATTATGAAAATGTACATGACCTGATTTTTGCATCATAGTAAAACAGGCCCATGACGAGGGGAAATAGGATTTTCTGTTGAAGAGCTATTATTTATACTTGTTCCAAGGCTTCTAATAGGATACTATTTCCTTGTATTAACACCATGCCAATATTGTTCTGTGGCCCACTAGTTGCCATCTCCTCGCATTAATCTATCACAATTCATAAATGGATCAAATCCCTGCAATATTTCTTGGACATGTCTGCCACCATTTAATTTCAATGATAACTTCTTGTCCATAATTTTTTTTCAATTAGGGAGGGTGAGCATTGCTCATGGTACCTATTCGGCAGGCTCAGAGATGTCTTTCAAAGGAATTTTCCCTGGCTCAAAATTTCTCAAACGAATAAATAACCAAATGGGTTGAATATGGTGTTCCTACCATTTGCAACTTCTGCCACCACCCTCTCTACATTCAATAAAGTAAGCAGCCCAAAGGTCTGAGTAATTTAGGGTGGAATAAAGACTAAAATATTTATATTCACTTAATTCAACAAGTAATTATTGAATTCTTGCTAAGGGCCAAAGGATATGATAGAACTTACAAGGGAGGACAGTTTCCCAAACACTGTTAGTGGAATATTACCCTAAAATACAGTAAACTACATTCATTCAAAGTGATATTTTTACATTTTATTCCAAGTTCTTCTGGGAGTTCAGTTTGGTGCAAAAATTTGAACAGTATCCACTATGAACAGACACTGAACTAACAGCTGGGAGGACAAAAATGAGCAAGACCAATCTTAGCCCCCAAAAGTTTATAGTTTAATGAGGAATACACACACCTAAGTAGATAATTTCAATTTATTAAGGTGAGTAGTGTACAGAGGGAACTATGAGATGTGCATGAGGGACTATGCCAGAATACACGACGTCTATGAAGAGCAATTAGAAATTCAGGAAATTTTCTGGAGAAGTTTTGACACTAATGTGGTATTTTTTTTGGGGGGGGCACACATGCTCGCCAGAAAGAGAGAGATAGAGAGACAGAAAGTGAGAAAAATCCCTTCTCCTCCATTCTCCTCGCAGGATCTTGGGCATGTACGCACACGCGCCCGGCGTGAGTTTAATCCACCGCGTCCGGGACTTGAACCTCAGTCGACAACATGAGAGTCCAGCAGCATAGCCATTACACTAACTGCTGGTCCCAAATGTGGTATCTTGAAGGGTAAATAAGGGCTAGCTAGATTGAAAGGACATTCTAGGGAGAGGGAAGCTCCTGAGAATTCAATAGGCAATTCACTATTACTAGAGGTGGAAAATACTAAGTGGTACATATCAGACGAAGAAGCTAGAGAAGCAAAAAACAACCTGATGGATACAGTATGCTGTGGGTAATGAGCTTCTACTTGATTCTGTGAGTAGGGTCAAATCTCCCAATATCTGATTTCACTCAAAGCTGCTTTTGAGATCAATAAAAGCAAGCGTTACTAATTTTATATGGAGAAATTAGAGAAACCATGGAGACCATATATTGCTGACTTATTATATAAAATATTAGCATTCTTTGGAAAAAGTGCTAGTCTAATGGATATTTTATTCTTTCACAGTTTTAAAAAACTTGAGTGGCATTTAACCAAAATAAAAATAGTCTTAGTACATTAATTTCCTGGAAGATATTCAAAACCTATTCTTTCCTTCTTTCTTTCTTTCTTTTTTTTTTAAGAATTTTTTTTTAAGAGGTTGTCTTAGGGTGCATGTGCTTGCCAGAGAGAGAGAGAGAGACAGAGATAGTGAGAAGGAAAATAACCCACCGCCCCCTTGGGGGTTATTTCTGCAATCCCTTCTCTTCCATTCTCCTCTCAGTATCTTGGGCACACATGCACACATGTTCAGCCTGATTTTCAAGCCACTGAGTCT